ACCATCATCGTCGTCACAATCAAGCCTGGGTATTCTTCCACCGTCCGAACCCCTTCCTTTCTCAACACCCAAAAAAATATTTTAAAGACAAATTAAAACTTTAATTTATTATAGAATGAAGCCCTCCCCCTCTCTCTCTCCTTTGATTTCAAACGTTGCCACATAATTCTCCCTCTATCATTTTTTTTTTTTTTTGGTTAAACTCCCGCCATCGTCTTCTTCGTACTTTTCATTCAGATTTTATGGGTTTTCTTAACCCATTTACGTACAATAACACAATACCTAAAATCGGGCCGTCTTGAACCACTCGAAACATTTTGACTTCGAATATAGCTTCGCCGACTACCGGAACAGCCATGGCCAACTCCATAACCTCCGTCGATGAACCCCTACATTCTCGAGCTCTCCGCCATGATTCTGCCGCAGCCAAAGACGTCTATGATGGGTTTGTGGTGGCCTTCAATGGAATACAATGAGTCGCGGTACTCCGGCGGAAGGGCCATCAGAGATTGGTGAGGTGCGATCTGGGTGAGGGTCAGCTTGGGACATCATAAATCCTTCTTGTCCCAAAAAACAAGAGTTTGCTAGGCCTGACTGTTGTCCTGGGAAGCTTGAGGACAAATTTGTGGGTTCTTATAATAACCGGGGATCTTTTGATGCTTACCTGGTTTATAGCTCTAATTGTTGCAGAAGATGATGGACAACCTGTATTGATTGATAATCTTGATAGACATGGCCCTACAAGCATTTGTCTTTTGGTGATAAAATAGCTTTTGTTTTGTGATTGGTGGACTGAATCATTGTATGGCCTTTTTTTTTTTTTCTTTTTCTTTTCCCTGCTTTTCGCAACAAGATTGCTGGAAAAAGATGAGAGGAGAGATCGTGTTTGGGGGTGATGGGTGGAGTTAGAGGAAGAAGATGAGAGGAGAGATTTGTGTTTGGGGGTAGTTTGGTGAAAAAATAATAATCAATGAAGAGGTCAAAGGTGAAATAGTTATTTTATACTAAAAACATTGTGACATTAATACAAATTGATATTTTATTTAGGGTGTAAGTAAAATACGAAATCACTCTTTTTTTTTTTTTTTTTTTTTTTATATGAATGAAAAATAAAACTAAAATCTTCATTTAAGTAAGAAATGACTTAACCTTAAAAGATCTTAGTGTAAGTTACCCTATAATTTATCACCGAATATTTGTCAATTTTTTAAAAGTGACTCTAAAATTAACCTTTAAACGGTGACAAATTGAGTGAATTTTGATTTCTTTTAGAAGGTTAATTTGATTATAGTGTGAATATATATTATTTAAAATTTCATGGAGATATTATACATTGACGCGGTTTTATTGTATTCGCAATAGTACGATCACATGACGTAAACTTTGACTTTAACAACAAATGCCCAAACAAACAAAACCTAATTTTCCTGAATCCCATCTCTGCTGCCTCTCTTCCTGTGGGTCAATCCCTTCTCACAATCCCTCTCTCTTCGATCCCCGTCTCTCCCAGAATCCCTTCTCTAATCCCTCTCTCTTCGATCCCCCTCTCTCCCAGAATCCCATCTCTCCCCTGGGTCTCTCCCTTCTCTCTTCTCTCTCACAATCCCTCTCTCCCTCCGCAATTTCTCTCTGTCACGATGGCTTTCTCGGCTTTCGGCTCTTTGAATATGACGGGTCGGAGAGAGCCAGAAAAGCGACCTCCGCTCCACTTCCCGTGCTACTAATAGAAGACCTTTCTATGAAGTCGTGTAGAAGAGCCAGAAGCAGTTGCGGTTGTTCAAGTTGTGGTTCTTTTCTTTGTCGCTTTTCATTTCAAATCTTCTTGAAGTCAGAATCTCGTTAAGGTATGGCTTGCACTAAGAAGAGGCTCCTTGTACTGGGACAAAGCCTCGTTTCAAGACTCGGATCTCTATTCCTGGAGCTACAGAAAGAAAGTCCTTTGAAATTGCCATGGAGGATCTGGTATAAGCAAAGGTATTCCTACCAGGGTAAGTCTGCTGTACTCAAAGTGAATTGTCTAAGTGCTCTCCCTTCTTGGCTTTGTATTACCGTCCCACATCGTTTGTGAGATGGTTTCCATATATGTTACACTCGTTGCATTTGTCCCACATCGATCACATTTTGGATTGTGATGGATTGTGCACACTGTTTGTGGAAAATTGCATTGCTTAGTCATGATGGCACAACGGCCTCCATGTTGATGGCACGACAAACAATGTTGTTGAGCCGTGGTGGTGTTTGGAATTCATGGGTGGTCCTGAATCCACGTCCAGAAATTAAGGAGGAGGGTTTTTATTTACCCAAAGATAAAATTCATTTTCCTTTTTTTCTTTAGTTTTTTTCATTTTATTTATTTATTTATTTATTTATGTCCTTTAGCGTAGTTATAGTTCTTTTCATTTCTTTTTATTTTTATTTTTTTTCTTTTGTCCTTGTAGTTAGTTCATTTTATTTCTTCTATTTCTTTTGTCCTTTTTTTTATCATCTTCTATATATATTCTTTAGTTAATCCTTTTTTTATTTTATTATTTTTTTTTTTTACAGACCATTTTAAGTTCCAGATCCAAAGAAATCAAATGAAGATTAGCGATCAAATGAAGATCAGCAGTCATTAATGACGATCAAACTCCTTCAAACATCTGGATCGGTGGGAACGGTCGGCTTCGGAACCAACTGTCAGCGTCGATCCAAAGAAATCAAATGAAGATCAGCAATCAAATGAAGATCAGCAATCAAAGGAGAGTTCGGATTTTTCAGATCAGAAAAAGGTTGAATGGCAGAGTCTTGAGGTTGCAAAGTTCGCTGCGAAGGTTGAAGCTGACAAATTGGAGGTAGCTCGTTCGAATCTGGAGATTTTTGCCGGCTCCAGATTCGAACGAGCTACCTCCAATTTGTCAGCTTCAACCTTCGCAGCGAACTTTGCAACCTCAAGACTCTGCCATTCAAACCTTTTTCTGATCTGAAAAATCCGAACTCTCCTTGGATTGCTCACAGTTCCTCCTCATACTCCGGTTCCGAAGCCGACCGTCCCCACCGATCCATATGTTTGAAGGGGTTTGATCATCTTTTACCATGAATGCAGTTACAATTTGACCCCAAAACACAAAGTATCAGAGGTGGACTCGTATTTTTCAGTTCAGTTTTCTTGTATTTCTTTTGTCAAATCAAATGAATGGTGAGATATACACCACGTCTTAAATCTATAAATTCCATTTTGCTTTAATAGATAAATTCTGAATTACGGCGCATACAAATTTATTGAATTATTTACTTTGGTTCCTTACACAAAATTAAGAATAAATTGACAATTTTGCAGGTCTTTAAATTGGAAGTTCCAGATATGAGGAAGGAAAGGGGGGTGAGAGAAACTAATGAGGGCATATATATATATATATATACACACACATACACGATCTCTTACTCCATGTGGAACAAGAAAATTTTTCCGCACTTTTTATAATGACTATTAGATTAGACCATTAGATCGGATTTCAAACCCACATATATGTTTTTCTTTTAATTCAAAATCACTATAATTATTTTTAGTTTCTAAAGTTAATATTTGCTAATACAATTAATTATAACAATAAAAGGTAAGTACTAAAAAAAATAATAATAATAATGATACTATAATAATAGCAGTATTAAAAATTCCAATTTCAATGAATTTTATAAGTGTTAGAAAATTGCATCCATGACTTGATACTAAAGTTGACATTGTCTGATTGAGTGTAAAAAAGAAATTAAAAATTACACTATTGACATACAAAACAATAAGACATCGACTAAAAAATAATAGTAAATTAAAAATAAAATCTACTTGATCAACTTAATGCAATCTGTGATTTGCACTGCACTTCACTTATAAAAAAATTAATACATTACAATTTAAACTATTGTATACCTCCCTAAATGCATTCTATTTAAAAATTAGAACTTCAATATTTTCTTTAATATTGCTATTATTATACTATCATTATTTTTATTTTTTTAGTACTTACCTTTTATTGTTATAATTAATTGTATTGGCAAATATTAAATTTAGAAACTAAAAATAATGATAGTGGTTTTGTATTAAAAGAAAGCATATAGGTGGGTTTGGAATGCGCATTATAAAACATGCGAAAGAATTTTCTTACTCCATGAGAAGCAAGAGATCATTACTCTATACATATTTTTATTTTTTGTAGAATATATTTTACTGAAGAATCTTTGCCCATTGGAGTTGGTGTTGTGACTCGCAATTAACTCACATAATTGTGAGGAAAAATTTACAAGATTGACATTTAAAATGGGGTGAGGAATATATAAACTCTAACTAAATGTTTTCTACTAAAAAGATAGGGAGAAGAGGAGACAATAAGCAGGCCTTACCGCCTGAGTCACTTCAATGACATCGGAAGGAATTGGCAGCTCGTTCCGAGCCGCCGCACCTGAGCAAGAAGCGTAATTTCAGATATTAGCATGGTGGCGGCTCATTTCGAGCCGTTGGCACCAATACTTACATGCAACCGCAACCAGTAAAACTTACACGCAACCATTCAGACTTTTGCAGGTTGCAACTTTAGTAGGTTGTATCATTTACTTTCAGCGATTATAACCACAGCAGGCATCTTTCATCTTCTTGCGAATGAGTTCTTCAGCAGTCATTGCGTGCCATTGCTCCCGCTATATCATGACCCATTCGCAGGGTGACTCAATTGATAGCCATAGTTTTGGTTAAACTATACACAATTATGTCTTCCCCAAGTACCACAACCCATTACAAGGTTGATCTTTTACCTTGCACTCTCAACACCCCAAAAATGCAAGGTTACAGCCAGAGTTGGTTTGCATTTAATGCAAACTCAAGCAGCTCATATTAATTTTGATACAAATTTATGAACTAAAATTCTTAAAAAGAAATGTTAAAATTGTTTTCTTTCACACAAGGTTGTTTTGCCTAAGGGCATGGTCACTAGAAGCCAGTTGGGGGCCTTGTCTCAACAACCTCCTCCTCAATGATTGGGGCTTGGAATGTGAGAGGGTTGAACAAGCCTCGAAGGAAAAAGGAGGTGAAGAAATGGATTACATCCAATTCATCTCATTTTGTTTGTTTGTTTGAAACTAGAGTTCGGGCTGTTTCTTTTGATATTATTTCCAAAAAGGTTATGCCTAGTTGGAGTTGGGCGGATAATTATGTGGCACATGGTTTGGGCAGAATTTGGATTGGATGGAATGCTGCAATATTGTCTGTCGTGGTTTTGGATGTGCAGGCTCAGTGTATGTTGCTTCAAGTTACCATCCTACATTCTGGTGAAATTATTTTCTGTACTCCAGTCTATGCTGCGAATAGGGCTGTAGATAGAAAGGCTCTCTGGTCCTATATAACCCACTATTCTATATTGGCTAATGGGCCGTGGATCACCCTAGGAGATTGGAATGCTATTAGGTTCCATGGTGATAAGAAAGGAGGTAAGAGGGTTCCTCAAAAGTTGCTTGATGAATTTAGTAACTGCCTGCATACAGCAAATTTACTGAAAATTTATGCTACTAATGGTGAATGGTCTTGGAGTAATAGGCAGAGGACTACTAGGAGGATTTGTGTTAAACTTGATAGGGTGTTTTTGAATAATCAATGGTTGGACCAAATTCCTGGTACTAAGATGGCTTTCTCTGCAGCAAAGAGTTCTGATCATTATGGAGTGGTGGTTCAAGTTTCAAAGACTTTTGCAGCAGGTCCAGAACCATTTAAAATGCTGAAACTCTGGTGTCTTAAAGAAACTGTTTTACCCATTATTGAGCAAGCATGGAAGATTGAAGTTGGTGGCTCCCCTATGCACAGACTTCTAAAGAAACTAACACAAGTTAAAGCTGCTATTAAGGAATGGAATAAAAATATCTATGGGGATGTAGGGGAAAGGGGTTTTAAAGTCTACCCAAAAACTTGAAGACATCCAGTTGCAGTTGCTGTCCAATTCGTCTGAAGATCTGTTTGAGGCTGAATATAAGATCAGAGAGGAGTATCAAGCTTCTATGACTGACCAAGAGATACTTCTAGCTCAAAAGGCTAGGACTCTATGGTTAAGGGAGAATGACAGATGCTCTGCCTTTTTCCATCATTAAATCAAGCAACATAGGAATTTTAATGCAATTACTAGCATAGAGACTGAAGATGGACAGGTTCTAATGGATATATCAGATATAGGCCAAAGTTTTGTGGATTATTATCAGCAGTTGTTTTCTAAACAAATGGATAACACTGTCTGTGATCTAGTGCCTAGAAATACTCTCCCTGTAGAAGATATTCTTTTGTTGGAGGCTCCAGTTGGTTATGAGGAGGTGAAGGCTGTGGTGATGGGGTTTCATCCAGATAAGTCTCCGGGTCCTGATGGTTTTCCTGCAAGGTTTTATCAAACCTTTTGGCAATTGGTTGACAAGGATGTGGTTGTAACGACTCGAATAGATACCAAAATAATAATAAAAATCTATAAAAATTTTGGCATGACTTTCGCAAAAAATGTCCCTCAACAACCTGTAGAAATACAAAAATAAATGCAATGGCCTCACTGGGTCTTAAATCTAACTTATCATGTCCTAACGCACAATTCAAATATTATACTACATTCCCAAAATGGTTACATACATATAAAAGTCCCGTTCCTCCATCTCATCCAAACATGGAACCCACTTAAGTTACATCAAATTACAGTCCATAAAATGTAGCTAGAATTAAAAGTCCATAGCTTACAACATTATACTAATTAAACTAAAGTGTCACAAGGTAGCTAATATTACATTTACAAAATATTACAGTCTAATACAAAAGATAACAAAATAGAATGAGTCTTCAAGCTCATCTAAACCTGTGGTGGACCGTCGTCCGCCACCTCTTTTCCATATCCTGAAAAAATGTTTAAAATAAGGAGGTGAGCATAAGCTCAGTAGGAAGTGTCTAAGACACACTTCTTATATCCCCGTGAATCCATACAATGAATAGATAAAAAGTGAACGGGAGCATACCATCGGAAAACACATATTCTCAACCACAATAACAAATATATAACAAATATCAACCAATCACAAATTTACCACGATGTCATGAAGTGCAACGTTATGCAAATGTCACTCCCCATTTCCGAAACAATTCCGTTTCAACAACCAAACCGTTAGTGTAGTCCAACCCAAGGCACCTCCATGGCGTCACGAAAGGAAGGTTGGTTAACTATTCACGACCACAAGGCACCTCCAAGGCGTCGCATCCGGCCTAGTTAACTCAACTACATTCCTTTCTAGACTACACCAACATCACAGACCACTAGGCGCCTCCTAGGCGTCCTGTTTTCGCAACACTTTTAGAAAATATTTTCCCCAAAATAATTTTATTTGTTCTAACAATTATTTTTCCCCTTTCTCTTTCTCAATGGATGCATGAATGCTTCATGCTTCAAATCATTAATTTAACTATATGTTTTCACACATTTCCATTTGCATTATCATCACAATTTAATGAAAATTTCTAAACATTCATTTCCTTTATTTATTTATTTATTTATAACCATAGCATCCATTTTTCTTCAAAACAATAAATAAATAAATAATCATGGAAACATACAACACATCAAACACTAAGCATGCTCATTTACCGTAATGAAAATAGACATGTATATGAACTCAAATAACACAAGGAGCACAATTATCATTGTAATTACAAAGAACTACAACAACAACAAGCTAAGTAATTAAAATTTAGCATGCTTAGAATCAACTTTAAGGGGAAAAATTCACCAAAGGCCAAGAAATTGTAAATTAGAACACCCCTACCTCAAATTGATGTAAACCCCCAATTTGAGCCCAAAAGCCCTAGAATTTTGAACTCCCTAGAGTGCACCAAAACAAAAATTGTTGGTACTCACACGTAGAGCTCGCCGTGCTCTTCGATTTGCTACAAATAGCACCCAAAAATTCCAAGTATGGGAGGAGGAATCAAAGCTTGAAATTAGAAAAGAAAAAGAAAAGAAAAGAAAGGGAAGCTTCTGGACAGAGACGCAGAGAGAGAGAGAAATTGGTCTGTGAAATGGCCTTATGCCCTTTGTGGTGTTTTAATACATTAGTGGGGCCCACTTGCTTTTTTAAAAAAACACTTTATAACTTTAATATATATATATATTTATATATTCATACCCATTACATTCTCCCAAACTTTAAAAGATTTCGTCCCCGAAATCAGGCCATACCTGAGGGAGAAAACAACTCTGGATACTTGGAGCGAACCTCCTGTTCGAGTTCCGAAGTAGCCTCCTCAACTCCATGATGCCTCCAAAGAACCTTTACCAACGGTATCATCTTTTTCCTCAACACCTTCTGTTGTGTGTCAAGGATCTGAATTGATCCCTCCTCGTAGGAAACATCCTCATCAATGTCCACATCAACCCAACTCAAAATGTGAGACGAATCTGGCTCGTACTTCCGTAGCATCGACACATGAAAGACATTATGAACCCTGTCCATCTGTGGTGGCAATGCTAGTCTGTAGGCAACCTCTCCTACGCGGTCCAAGATCTCAAAAGGTCCAATAAATCGTGGCGACAACTTACCACTCTTCCCGAACCTCATCAACCCCTTCCTTGGAGACACCCGAAGAAAAACATGGTCTCCCACCTTAAAGGATAGCGTTCGTCTCCGCCTATCTGCATAACTCTTCTGTCGGCTCTGAACTGTAAACAATCTCTGTCTAATCAGCTTAATCTTCTCGGTAGTCTCTAGTACAATGTCGGATCCTAAAGCGGTTGTCTCGCCCACCTCAGTCCAACAGACAGGAGACCTACAAGGTCTACCATACAACGCCTTAAATGGAACCATCTGAATACTCGCCTGATAACTATTGTTGTAGGCAAACTCAATAAGTGGAAGGTGATCCTCCCAACTACCACCCAAGTCAAATACACAGGCTCGAAGCATATCCTCCAAGATCTGGATGGTACGCTCTGACTGGCCGTCCGTCTGTGGATGAAATACAGTACTAAGGTGCAACGCTGAGCCAAACGCTGCTTGAAGTCCTTCCTAGAACTTCGAGGTGAACTTAGCATCCCTATCCGACACAATAGCCACTGGAACTCCGTGCAATCTCACAATCTCTTTCACATAAAGAACACCAAGTGCCTTTGCGTCATCTGTTGCCTTAATAGGCAAGAAGTGAGCCATCTTGGTCAATCTATCGAAAATGACCCATACGGCTTCATTTCCCCTCCGTGACCTAGGAAGACCTGTCACAAAATCTATTGCAATCTCCTTCCATTTCCACTGCACTACCGGCAACGGCTGCAATAAACCAGCTGGTCTCTGGTGCTTGGCCTTCACCTGCTGACAGGTAAGGCACTTAGCTACAAACTGTGTAACATCCTTCTTCATTCCATTCCACCAATACTGACGTCTCAGATTGTGATACATTTTGGTACCACCTGGATGAACTGCAAAGCGGGAAGTATGAAACTCCTGTAAGACGTCCTCACGACAAACTGTAGGAACAACCAACAAACCCTTAAACCGTAGACCTCCATCTACATGTAAGGTCCAATCATTCACGGTCTCACCACTGGAGATCAAAGTGTAAATGGCATCCAAATCTGAATCTTGTCTCTGTGACTTAATCACCCATCTAACAAGAGTGGGTTGAGCCACGAGACTAAACAAGAATGTTGACTCACTGCCATCATCATCATCATCAAAACAATACAATCCCATTTCAGCCAAATCTTCCAGCATCTTCCATTTTTGAATGGTTAAACTAGCCAAAGTCCCACGAGATTTCCTGCTTAAAGCATCAGCTACCACATTTGCCTTGCCAAGATGATACTGCAAATCAAAGTTATAGTCTTCTAAGAATTCAACCCATCGCCTCTGTCTGTTGTTCAAGTCCTTTTGGGAGAAAAGGTACTTGAGACTCTTGTGATCCAAGAACACCTCAAATCTCTCACCATACAAATAGTGTCTCCAACACTTCAAAGCAAATACAACTGCCGCTAACTCTAAATCATGAGTAGGGTAGTTAAGCTCGTGAGTCTTCAACTGTCGAGACCCGTAAGCCACTACTCTATCATCTTGCATCAGTACACAACCCAAACCATCACGTGAGGCGTCACAATAGATGACATAACCCAAGCCATACTCAGGTATCACCAACACCGGAGCCGTAGTCAACCTTGTTTTCAACTCTTGAAAGGATAACTCACAGGCCTCATTCCATGCAAACTTGATCCCTTTCCTGGTCAATCTGGTCATAGGAGCTGCCAAACGGGAAAAATCCTTCACAAATCTCCGATAATAACCCGCTAGGCCAAGGAAACTCCGGATCTCAAAGACATTCTTGGGTTGCTTCCAACTCAAAACTGCCTCTATTTTTGAAAGATCAACTGAAACCCCACCTTCCGAGACAACATGTCCCAAAAATTTCACCTCTTGTAGCCAAAACTCACACTTTTCATACTTGGCGTACAAACAGTGCTCCCGTAGAATCTGCAACACTATACCCAAATGGACCTTGTGCTCCTCCCGAGTCCGTGAATACACAAGAATATCATCCACGAAAACTACCACAAACTAATCCAAGTAATCGTGGAAAACACGGTTCATTAAATCCATGAATGCCGCCGGCGCATTGGTTAAACCAAAAGGCATAACAAGAAACTCGTAATGTCCATACCGCGTACGGAACGCGGTCTTTGGAATATCCTCCTCTCTAACCTGTAACTAATAATAGCCTGACCTCAAGTCAATCTTCAAAAAACAACTGGCTCCCCTCAACTGATCAAATAAATCATCTATCCTTGGTAAAGGATACTTGTTCTTAATGGTGGCATGATTTAACTTTCGGTAATCAATGCACAACCTCAAGGAACCATCTTTCTTCTTAGCGAACAAGACCGGTGCACCCCACGGTGACACACTCGGTCGTACAAAGCCTTTCACTCTCAAATCATCAAGTTGCTTTTTCAATTCTTTTAATTCAATCGGTGCCATACAATACGGTGCCATAGAGATTGGCGCGGTACCAGGCATCAAATCAATAGCAAATTCCACCTCTCGGTGTGGAGGCAACTCAGTCAAGTCTTCTGAAAACACATCTA